ATTTGTATCTTTCTCAAATAAAATACTGAACATCTGAAACAGGAGAAACTGCTGTAGTAGAAGGAAAATGGTAACAACCTCAGTGACACTACAGATAAATTCTTACTGTTATTTGCACTGAAAAATTACTCGTTTTTCACTTCTCTTTTCCCGACGGGCTCTAATTCTTCCTCTGAAAAGGAATGTTATTTTTGTCATTCAATTACATTTTCACCATTTGATCAGACTGAGCTCTATATAAAAGCATGAACTCTTGTTTCAGATTCCCTTACTCAGCTTTTACTTCATGAAGAGTTGTGTTCCAAGGTCACAACTGATTAATCTTGACCTGTGAACTGCCAATGTGTACAGTCTTAATATCAGTGTATTACTCTACATGGCAAAGTGAAAAGTACTCTATCCATGACAAATAATGAACTAAATTTTTCTGACTTTACTCTTCAGTTGCTAATTAAGCACTTAACTACAAGATCTGTTAACTCTTCGGTGCTCTTTGGATAAATTACATGTCTATAAATTGAGAGAAATCATTTAAGTATATGTGATGGACGTACCCCATCCCCAGGATCTTTACAAGAGACTTTTGCTAAGCTGTGGGATGCTCACGGTGGAGTTTCTGCAGGCATGCTCCGGCCTTGGGAAGAGTACTGCATTTACAAACTCACGTTTAGGGCTTATTCTGGCAATATTTCTGTATTACTGCTACTATGAAAAAAGTCTTTCTATTTCTGGTAATCTATTTTAGAAATTAAAGCATGAGACAGAGGCAAGTGAAATTGTTACGTTAGAGGAAATTTGTTTACTAAATGAACAGCCATCATGAATTCATATATACAGCAAATTAAAAAAAAATTCTAAAAAGGAGTAGATTTGAGGAGAAAAAATCTAATCTGATCTGACCTAGCACTTGATGTAGAGGTTGGCAGCCCTCCTGTGCCAGGGGGTTGGACCTCAATGGTCCATCAGGCCTCTTCCAACACAAGTCATCCTACAATTCTATGATACTGCAAAAAAAAATCAATTTCCTTCTTTTACATTCATTGACAGGTACTTCTGAAACTTGCACCTCATGCATCCTTCTCTAACCAAGTTTCACTCACCAGAGGAGTGCAGGCCTGCGCTGCTGAGATGCTGATGCCCGGCAGATGCAAGCCGTGCCTGCAGCCAGCTGGGCGCCCACTGCAGCCCGCACACAGCGCACACTGCGGCCTCGTGCCACCTCCCCGCGTGGGATTCCACGACACGCCGCCAGCGCTGCGGAATTACTACAGCGAGCTGAGGGCAGCAGGGGCTCAGAGCTGGGGCGGATGTGGGGCTGTCAGTGTGGGCACACTGCATCCAGCAAGGGGAGAACCCACATCCGCGCCCTACGACACAGATTTCCCACTGTGCGCGCAGCCTGCTGCAGTCTCTTAGAAGAAAAGAAGTCACGCCACAAAGCGTGACTTACATCAGCAGGCACTGCTAAGTTAACCCGGAGACACTGAAGTCAAAATAAATTTACCCAGTGCTTCTTGTAATTGTAACGAGGACTGGGAACATTCACAGCTGTGACAATGCAATTAGCCGTGCTAAACAGAATACATTAGGGCAGTCCTGCATGGCTGTTTTCAGCGGTAGATACTGTATTTCCTGCAGATCTGAGGCTGGACACAAGCGACAATATAATAAATCTATTTTTATCTTTAATCATTCATTCTGAAGTACTGACAGGCACATTAAGCACTGCCGTCTAAAATTAGTTCTGTTCATGCTGGAAGCAACCATTTATTCTATTGCACTCTTTGTACGCTCAAAATCAGAAGACTTCTGGGAGACACTGCGCTGTTTGTGAGAGGTTTCTCTGCAATATCCTGATTAGGTCCTGGAATGCAGTACTGCTATTAGAATTATTGTCCCTGTGAATGGTACATCATTAAAATCTCCTTTAACTAGCAGAAAATACCATTCAGCTCTCAAGTAACTTAACAGAAAACACAATAAGATTTTAAACCAGCTGTTGATTTGTGCCAAAAGCTGCCCACCACCACATGTGAATATAAAGCAGTTCCTCCCCCAATACTGTGCAATTTCATTGCCATAATCCTCGAAGAACAAGCACAAAGCTGCCAAATTTCTCCTGGTCACAGAAGTCTAGAAGGCTGCACGTGACAAATATCTGCTACAGACTCCACCTGGTCTAAATCAACATCGCCTCATCATTTTTAGATGCTCCATTTGATATGACTGTTATTACTCCTGTGGTTGGATTGATCAACCACTGGATGTCACTATCAGTCTAAATACATAAACTCAAATAGCATTTGTTTGTCATTAGAAAATGTTTAAGGACAGGATGAATCTGAGCACAATAAATAGCAACAATACTCATAAGATGCTGAAAGCATTTGCTCACATCTTGCGCTTGTGCAAGCATATGGTATAAGTGCCTGATTCAATATTCCTATTTGGGGTTATTCACATACAAATCTGATAGCGACTCGGATTTCACTGCTCTCCTGACAATGAGTTCATGTCCTGTGCTGTGTCATTTCTATGGAGAACCAGCACGCAGAATCTGGCATCCTGCAAAGCGCTGCTGAGCTCCCAGCACTTCCACCAGCGGCTGCAACGCCATCCTCCAGCTCTCCTGGTTAGATGATTGGAATCTGACTTTTACAGAACTCCATTTTGGCAAAGTCCTCACTATCGCTCAAAGATGGCCCGTCTCAGGCAAGGCCAGACAGAAACCAAACAGAAACCAAACAGAAACCTGAACTGGCAGCCCCTCAGCCTTCCTGAAAGGGACAGACAGTAATTCATTTTGCATGGGGTGGAAATCTGCTGTTTGGAAATACCAAAACATTCTGTATTGATGGTCAGTACAACAACTCTTTTGGAATGTTCTCTTCCTACTGAACGCAAAAACAATCTAAACAAAGCTTTTCAACACATAAATTAGAGTTTGCTTTGGAAATGAACATGAACATTAGAAAAATACTTCGCACTTGAGAACACCAAACCTGACTCTCACTGGCCATCATAACTAAATATTAACAACAATTAATAATTTGTGGTCACTGCCTTTAAGTCAGTGGTACACACCTAGAATAAATAACATGAAGATCAGACCAGCTGTCCCAACAGTCTGTACTTGTGGGACTTCCTACTGTAAAAGTAATAGAACGATTTTTCAGTGCTTCTTCATCCTAAAATACAAAACGGTTTAATTATCCAATTGCCTTTCATTAGAAACTCTTTATCTCAAATAACGAGATCCTTTAAGAGTAGCATTCCTAAAAGGGACTCCAGAGCAGGGTGCCCACAAGGTCACCTTTCAGACCTCATTGCAGTGACAGACTGGGCTTACACCCACAGCAGCCGGCGTGCCGCCCCTCAGGGTGCTCCTCACACCCAGGTGAAGCATGCTCAGAGCACAGCCTTGGAATCCCAGCCCTGACCATCAGTGAGGCAGAACAGAGGTCCTGTAATATCAGTACAACCGAGAGAAGAAGGAAAGTATCTGAAGAAAAGATATTTGAAACAGTATTCTTAAAAAGGACGACTCATTTGTTTCACAATTATTTTGAAACAAGTGCTGTAATTTTAATACAGGTATAATCACTGCAAATGACATTAAGAGCTTGTCTCAGGCAAATTGTATTGCTTTAATTATAATGGGGTAGTTGAAGCTGAGCAAATCCCCAACTCAAGCACAGTTAACATAGCAAAAAAGGGAGGGAGAGAAGTTACAGTAGGAATTACAGTAGGAAGATGCTGGGTTTACGTGGACGTGGTTATTCTGGACAAACAAAATCATAACCATTTCCAGCCCCACCGTGGGGTTCCCAGCCCTGCTATGGGGTTCTCAGCCCACTGAACAGCGGGTAGCAGCAGCTTGTAAAACCAATAGGGATATTTCACTTCAGAAAGGAAACCTACAGTCACCTCTAGCCTGTCAATCCAGTGTCTGTATTTGCTCCTCTCTATGTCCTAGTGCAAGTGAAAAACAAAAAGCAAACTAGTGCTTGCACGGTATGCCATGGCAATGCAAGAGCTTCACGGGACAGCTAGGTGCTCAAAATCCTGCACTGACCTCTCTGTAGGAATCACAGCACGCTTCACTCAGCTGCCCCTTGCTGACACTCCGCTCTCACAGGTACCTGTGGGCACAGCGAGGCTGTGAGCCTGGACACCAACCCGAGTGCGAGCTGCAGCTCAGAATGCCTCCACACAGCAAACTCCCCGTCCTGCAGACACTGCCCCCAGGCCGGGGGAAGCTGACTGTTTTGTACAATAACCATAGAGAAAGCCTTTAAGAAAAGTTCTGTCCATGGAGTTTCATGGCAAAGTTCACACTTTAGTGGAAGCTGAGGTGACTTCAAACAAGATAACTACCTGCACCAGGTCCTGTCTCAACAGTGAAAACTGGAAAAGAGAATGACTGACCTAAATATTCAGAAATTACTTAGTGACTGCTACCACGTCTATTTTTGAGTGGTTAACTACAGCCTTCTCAAGGAAACTTGACCACCAGAGATGAAACTTTAACAAGATGGCACCTTTTAATGTGTTTCACTTTGAGGCGTACAGAACTACTAATCAATTCAGTGAGAAATTAGGTCAGAGTTATCCCCATCTTCCCCTAAGTGCTCTAAAACTAGATTTAAGTGTATATATATTTAAATTAATATACACTCATATATAATTTCATATTCTTCTTAGCAGAGTTGGCAAAGAGTAAGAGTTGAAAGCTTTTTGTGTGGCAGTCACTACAGAGCCGAAGCAAAACCACTAACCTCAGGGCATTTTTTGTTAAGACCACTTTCATCCTCGTTCTCAATAGATAAAGAATCTATATTAATTAGTGGTTCCAGAAAACCTCAATAATTCCTAATGCATTAGGCAGAAACATGGAATATTTCTTGCTTCGTGTTAACAAATGTCAGATGCAATGCAGATGTAAATAAAACCAAATAACCAAATAGAGATAAGCAAAGGTATACTACTTTCCATCCGTATTTCCAAACAGCTTTATTGTATTTCACACCATCTGTGTTCCAGCGTGAAACCTCACATGAAGGCAGTTGACACACAGCACACCTTCAGTGGGCTGCGCCCTCAGCGCGCGTTGCTCAGCAGGCAGCACGGCCCAGCCATGGTGTGAGCTGGGAACGGAGCTCTGCGTTCCCCGTGAGCATTGTTTGGGCTTCTCTGTTTCTAAGAAGCAGCCTGCTAAGGTTCCATTTTCAAATGTTTTTCATTAGTAATGCCTAAAGCTGACACGCTCGCTAAACAATCTAGAAACAATACAAGATAAGACATAAAAGACATATTAGATTATGCAGCCTATGCCTTCAAATGCAGCAAAAATAAATGCAAACTGCTTTGGGGTTTGTCACTTGCAGCATGCAACAGCTTTTCCATTATGCTTTGCCTGATCCCTTGTCAGATTTCTTCAGAAAAAAACTGTGAGTTAGAAAGAATGGAAAGCACTTCCCAGAGGTTACGCCGTGGGAGCTGGGCAGCAGCAGGCTGGCTTACCCTGCTAGCAGCTGTATTCTCACATACCTTCATTTTTCTTTTTTTTTTTTTATTTTTTTCTCTCTCCTAATGCATTCTCTATGTAACTTCCTGGCACACAATTTCATAGTTGACTCCTGTCATGCAACTCAGTGGAGACCTAAGCAAAGCCAATGGGAATCCTGGAGGATGTGGGAGTGCTGAAGAACTGTCACAGGACCAAGGCTCTGTGCCGCAAGGACCTGGAGATGAGAGCAGTCTACACACTGCTGTGTGCTGCTGCACGATGCTCTTGACTGGGCAGTGAGGCTGCCATGTCCCAGGTGTGATGGGCTGAAGCATTTGCTCACATTTCCCAGAAGGCTGCTAGGATTATAAGGATTACTCTTCCATTTCAGGAGTGCTGCTAAAATAATTTACCTGATGCTAACAAAGTGTTCCGAAGCTGAGACGAGCCATGAAGGCACTACTATTGTAAATAATAGTTTCCTAATTCCTAAGATGAATATGTTAGTAACAGCATAACAAACAGCTGGGCTAGAAGAACATCTTGAAACAAAGCCATCTAGCAGAGTTTCATTTTCTTTTGGTAAGGAATACTCATTGCAGTTCTCCTACATGGGTCCACAGTGCACCTCTGAGCCACCTGCTCCTTGGGGCAAGGTTTGAATTAAGACCTCTTCTGTTTTATATTTCTTTATTTTTTTTAAATCAGAAAACTGTTTATATTAATTTCAGGCTTTGTAATCTCCTCCAATTCGTTGTTAAAAAATAACAAACAAAAGAAGACCTAAAGCTAAATGTTGTCTCTAAAACTCCTTTTCCAGTCTCCTATTTAATCAGCCTTGTGGCATACTGGGAAATAGATCATTTAGTTCCACTTCATCATTATGGGCAGAAGAAATTTTACATTCAAGCTTACAGCACCTAAATACCTAAAGCCACATTCTAATCTGTAAAGCACATGGGTGTAAAACAGGCAGGCAATTTTTCATTTCCTTGGGGCAGCACTGTTTATGGTGACTGGCAGAGGCTTTCTGCATTTCATCAGGCCTTTACGAGCGCTGCCAGCCCAGCAGAGCTGCACTCATTGCACTGCTGATCACACATGCTCCAGTACGGCCGTGCCGGCAGATAACGGATGGGTGCTCCAAGGGGGAAGCGGAGGGACTGACGAAATCGCTGCCTACATGTTGAGAAAGATACAGGGCACGGCATGTGACATACACTGAAATTAACATGAATTTAGTACTGCTGCCAGTGAAAGCCACTCTAATTGAAACAAATAGCTTTGCCCTTCAATGTCTTGAAAAACACTCCCTACTGCCCATGCAGGAGTTACCTGTCTGCAGTCAGCGTTTCTGACAACCGGATGAGAGAGGTTTGGGTGAGGCTTTTCCAACCTGGAGAAAACTATCATCTTCTGCTAACAGAACAAAACAAACCTAGGGCGTTACAGACGTTGAGGAACAGGGCTAGGTGCTCCCCTGTGATGGCAGCTGACTGGGCTCCAGTACAGATGGCCCATTCCCATTGCATGTTCGTTCCCTCAACAGCTTTGCTACTGGCATTTCAGAATGTGAGATTGTTGATAAAAAAGCCTCAAACTAAGTTAATGTCAAAGCAATAGTATCTTTGAACTCATTTCCTGGTCTTTCCTGTGTTGCTCATCAACACTCTAGAATGTAAATGCTGCCTGGATAAACAATGTGACATGCTGGTATAAGCCATCAGTAGAGATTCAATGCTTAACTAAAATGGCAAAAAAAAATCTCTGGGGGAGAACCTCTCCTGGGCTTTTCACTTGAGATCATAAAGTTGACCACTCCTTTCTCTGCCTTCATCAATGCACACTGCTGCATTAACTGCCCTTAGGAAGCTGTCAGGAAAACACCTTCTGATGGAAGCAGTCTAAAAGCAGTTACATCAAAATGCGATATAAAGGGTCAGAATGCTCATTTCTTTATGTTTCACAAAAAATAAAATTTAAAAAAAAAATGAAGAAAAGGCAAAGACAGCGAGGGATTTCTGGACCTAGGCAGCATGAAATGCTTGTTATTCTGTTTTTCGAAATAAATACATTTCAGGAACTATAATAAGAGCTGCCGGCGGTCTGCTGACCAGGCTGTGTAAGGACGCACTGGGCAGGGGCAAATCTGACGCACACTGTGGGCTCTGCACTTTTGGTGGCGGAGGCAAGTAGCATCGGTGCAGTAATTATCAAGCCCTCGAAGAGGCTGCATCCCACCCCTGATCAGCAACAGCTTGATCCAGTGAAGCCTCATCTCTCTCCTCACATAGAAAGCACGCTTCCCTTGCTGTGCACAGCCGGAGGGCAGTGGGGTGCCCTGGGGTGAGCAGGGGGTGAGCAGGGTGCCTCGTCCCATCCTGGTGGGCGGTGTTGGCACGGAGCTGCCTGCAGCTGGCAAGCCACAGGTTGCTGTCAGCTGGTGGAGACACGGGCTGTACGCAGCACAGAGCAGCCTGGCGGTATGCTGACTGCAGAGCGGCAACACGAGAGGCTCATTTGAAAACACAGACACGTAAGCAAGACGGAAACCCCACCTCCTTGTGATTGTCTGAAAGGGATCAAATGGGTGGAAATGCCACAGATAGACGCGCTCCTCCCAGCATAATTGTTACTGTCACAGCTGTGTGCGGCAAGGGGGCGGCGAGCGGATGATGCAAGGCGTTTGGCACCGCAGCACGGCAGGGCTGCGCCCTTCGGCCGAGCGCCCGGCTGCAGCCCGATTCATGCCGATACTGGCTGTAAGTCACTTATTTTCAGAGCTCATTACAAAGAGTAATTAAATGGCCACCATGTCCCCAGCCTTAACCCTACTTAGTAGATAAAGTGGATAATTAAGCATTGTTAGCTCCATTTTGCATCTATGGAAACTGGTGAGAGACTAATGCATCCCCTACTCTGAGCCAACTCCAGATAGCAACGTGCCAGTCATGGACTCTTTCACCCCAAAATGTTGGGAGGTTTTGTTAATTTCAAGGAGTTATGCATCAAAACCACCACTCCTGACTTATCACTGAGAGATCTGCTGCAGAGAAGTATTACACGATTTAACTGAATGGAGTCTTGGAGAGCTTTCAGCGAATGCTGATCGTTTCTATTTCATCGCCAGGTGAGGTAACCACCCACTCTTTAAACAAGGTGGTATCTCCATTCCATGCAGCCAATTGTTCTTACACACAGACTCTTGTACTAATACACAACGAAGCAGTCAGATATGACAAACCCACTCCCTGGCCTGTTAAACTGTTTGAAATGTTATTAACTGTAGCTGCCCAGGTACAATCACAAACTCCCAATATGTGTTCTCCATCAGAGTTTTATGTTGATGCTAGGTACAGTGGCAGCACAGAGATTTCACACAAGGCTGAGTGCACCTTCCCTGAGTGGCTCATGAGTCACTGGATGCTGCAGCTGAAATCGCTGCTTCCTTCAAGCCATATATGGCTCTATTCCTATGAACTATTATCTCACTTCTCACCACTCGGCACGCTTCATTCATAACTGTTTATCTTGCCCTAACTGCCAGCCCAAAGGTGGAACACTATTTTCAGACCGTGAGAGGGGCCTAAACAGAGCTGCATTTTTGAGTATTCTCCTTCCTCCGTTTTTTACACATCATGCAAGGTATTACAAACTGAAGACCTCTATTTATTCACAACATGCTCACAAAACTGCCAAAATGTTCTCAATTCACATGCCTCAATCTGATTTCTAGGGAGTGGAGAACACTGGAAACATCTTCAGTTTTTGCTTCACTCTGGTGGCAAAGGCCTAATAGAAGACTGCTTCAAGCAGGACGGTCACCAGTGTGGATAACAACGAATCCTAATAAACACAGGATTATTTAAACTGTCACATTCATTGGGCTATCTCCCAAATTCTGACTCTTCTCCAGAGCTTTCTAGTAAGCTCTGATTGTACCCACATCATCATAAAATAAAAATAAATTCCATATTTCCATTTAAACATATGGAAGGGATCTCTCTTAGAAAATCTAATGAAATGAAAAAGCCTTTGAAATACACTTGCCTTTATCAAAGGTTCGAACAGTATGAAAGACAGAGTTCAAAAACTACCCCTATATCTAAGGTTCGTGGTGAAATAAGAGTGAAGGATCCTTTCTTGCTAAGTAATTAGAAATAAATCAGGCAAGATCCACCTGTGCCATGACATCCAGCATCAGACATGCGTTAGCATTCGCTTAATGGAGTTAGAACTCCAACGTCGCTCAGAAGGTAAATGACCTGGTAGTTTCTTTCTAGTATGGACAGATCATGTATAGTGTGGCACATCTGCTATTAGACACGGATATGCCTTAAAAGAAAATAGTGGTGAAATTGAGAAGATTTAGACAGCTTTATTGCTCAAAGACAAGCAAAAAAGCCCAAACAACCTCCACCAACAAAAAACAACCACAAAACCCTTAAAGAATCAAAAAAAGAAAAAGAAAAAAAAAAGCTTTCTGTAAAAATTCAAGGCAGCTGGACCTGACATAGGGTCTGCACTGGTGGTGCAGCGATGCTCCCTATCCGTCTCAGAGCTGCCTTTCCATTTGGCTTGGAACCAGTGTCATTGTTAATTGGATGCTGAGTGATGGATCTGGCCACCTGGCACTGTCTGGCTCCTAGATGATGATCAACTCACTTGGCAGGCTAAGTGGGGAACTGGCCACCTGGCTAATACGAGGGCTACAGAATCTCTGACGAGCCGATTGCCAGCCTGCTAAGACATTTTTTATTGTGGATATCA